ACCTGCACACGATGTCAAGACAAAATTTGGGGAGAGCGGAAATGGGGAAGGGCGCAGATGGCTGGCGCGGCCAACACTCAACAGGCGTACCAACAGCACACCTCGCTAGGCACGCTCCCACCTGGGAACGCCATACAGGCTACATTAAGAAGGAGCCATTGAGCCTGACTCTCAGCCCGCAGTTAGCCAAGCCACTGCTTTTGGCGCACCGTGATAGCTTCAAGCTCATCAGATTGCTTTTAGTGAGGAAATAACTGTGCTGAGGGTCGACCTGACTCTCTCCCCACCGCCAGCAACAGGCCACCGTCTAGCTGATCGGTCGCCTGAGGTGGGATGGGCGCAGTGCTAAAAAGACCCACCAATTAAAACCACGAAGACTTGGATGGTCATCTCTGGTTTGCGACAGCTTATCACGCAGAAATGGTCATCCCTGTATCCCTTGCGTTTGTCGGTATCCTGCCTCTGTGCTTACTATTAATCGCTGCGCAAGTGCTAGCAAAGGCTCTGGCTTAAGCACCAAGTTGCTGCATGACGAGTATGCCTCGTAAAACGATCAGTGCATGTACGTCCTTCGGCCGCGTCGAATACACTTGTTTTCCCGAATTGAGGAAAATTTTCGTATCCCAGGTATGTGTATAGATAGAGGTGGAGAGGGCATTTCGTTCACCGGAACTATAGTTTTACTCGTCCTAGTTTTCGGGCTCTTTCTGGAGTCCATCATCAGAGATAAGAGGCGATGCCGATGCCTGCATTCTCGCCTTCCAAGTACTCAAGCAGAACCAATTCGTATGATATAGCATGCGCTGCCATACATCAAGGATGTCAGAAGCGACCGAGTGTTTGTTGCGGGACTAGGCGTCGGAATTTCCCACTGTTCCAAGGCTACCATGTACAGCCGGGTCATATGAATAAAGGACCGATCAAATCACAGTGAGCAGTCGGGCGTAGTGTATCCATATCATGCATTAACTGTCCCCGAAATTACACTGGACACACAGGACGCAGGCTCGATGCATGCATACACGAACATAAGCTGGCTGTACGAAGGGGTAACGCATTATCGAAAGTGGCCGCCGAAACCTACAAGACTGGTCACGAGTTTAACTTCGCAGCTGCGAGGATAATCGCCCACGCCAGCAACAAGACAGGCCGAGAA